CGTCAGAAGGCCTGGGAGCGCGAGCTGGCTGAGCTGCGGCAGGGCTGCAGCGGGAAGCTGCAGCAGGTGGCCCGGCGTGCCCAGCGTGCCCAGCAAGGCCTACAGCTGCAGGTGCTGCGGCTGCAGCAGGACAAGAAGCAGCTGCAGGAGGAGGCAGCCCGGCTGATGCGGCAACGGGAAGAGCTGGAGGACAAGGTGGCCGCCTGCCAGAAGGAACAGGCCGACTTCCTGCCCCGGATGGAAGAAACTAAGTGGGAGGTGCGGGCTGGGGGCTTGGCTGTCATTTGTGTTCCCTTCCTTCTGTCGCTGGAGAAACCGGAGCAGCAGCTCACAGCTGTCACAAAGGGAGTGAAGGGAGTGGTGGGACCAACTAGGAGTGTCTTTGAGGACCAGAGCTGTCCCTGGGCTGTGTGAGATTAGCCATGCCTGTCCCGAGCCTGAGGAGGGGGCCCATGTGTCATTTCTGTCCTAATGAGGAGCTGAGCCTGAGCCCTGGGGCAGCTTGGTGCCACTGGGGCTGGATATGGGGGCTGGGTTGGGGGTGAGCAGAGCTCTGCCTCATCCTGACTTCTCTTCTCACTGGACCCTGCCCAGGTATGCCAGAAGGCTGGGGAGATATCCCTACTGAAGCAGCAGCTGAAGGACTCGCAGGCGGACGTGTCCCAGAAGCTGAGTGAAATTGTGGGGTTGCGCTCGCAGCTGCGGGAGGGCCGGGCCTCGCTGCGGGAGAAGGAGGAGCAGCTGCTCAGCCTGAGGGACTCCTTCAGCAGCAAACAGGCTAGTTTGGAGCTGGGTGAGGGCGAGCTGCCCTCTGCCTGCCTCAAGCCGGCGCTGACCCCAGTGGACCCGGCCGAGCCACAGGATGCACTGGCCACCTGCGAAAGCGACGAGGCCAAGATGCGACGTCAGGCCGGGGTGGCTGCTGCCACCTCCTTGGCTTCCTTGGACGGGGAGGCTGATGCTGGGGGGGAGAGTGGGACACGGGCCCTGCGGCGGGAGGTGGGGCGGCTGCAGGCTGAGCTGGCAGCTGAGCGGCGAGCCCGGGAGCGCCAGGGTGCCAGCTTCGCAGAGGAGCGCCGCGTGTGGCTGGAGGAGAAGGAGAAGGTCATCGAGTACCAGAAGCAGCTGCAGCTGAGTTATGTGGAGATGTACCAGCGCAACCAGCAGCTGGAGCGGCGGCTGCGAGAGCGTGGGGCCGCAGGAGGTGCCAGCACGCCTACACCCCAACATGGGGAGGAGAAAAAAGCCTGGACCCCCTCCCGCCTTGAGCGCATTGAGTCCACAGAAATCTGATCCCCTACCTGGGTGTGTGGCCTTTTGACCAATACTCTGTCAAAGGCCAGAGTCCCCAATATCCCCTCCCTGCCATCTCTTTTCCCCATGTGCCCTGTTTCCCCAGACCAAAGAGGTTCTCAAAGCAGCTGTGACCAGGACCCCCCCCCCACTGGGTGCCTCCCAGCTCTACCACTGCCCCTCTGGGCAGCCCGCTCCACCCTCCTCCCAAGGAGGAGATGGGACAAGGCAGAGTGAGTGGGAATGAGGGGCCCAGGCAGCAGGGGAGACCATGCTCCCTTTCTTGGCCCTCACTTGTTGGAGAGGTAGCAGGCCTAGGTTCCCAGCCCCTTGGTGGCTCTGGGCTGCTACTGGTGGCCACCCCGTGTCCAGAGGTGTTCTCTGTGCCCATCTCCTAGGCCATGTAGCCTGAAGGGGCTTGCGTGGGGTCTGCTGAAGGTGACAGACCTTGGGCTCCTGGCCTCTCCCCTTTCTGCACTTTTCTCCCGCCTTTGGGCAGATTGGCAGGACAAGTGGGAGCAGATGGCCTGCCTGTGGTTGAGAGGGCTACCTGCCCAGCCCCTCCCTCCCCAAGGTCTCTTGGGCTCAGGCCTCAGAGCCTGGCCTGGTCCTGAGTGTGTGTCCATGTGTGTGTGTTGGAGGGGAGGGCTGGGGCTGCAGGCTCAGTGCCCAGGGAAGATCTGCCCTCCTGTTCTTGGGAAGGGTCACCTGGAGGCTTCTTAGCTCTACCCTCACCCCTCTGGCCAGGACCCACAAGACGACAGCCCCATCTGCTTGGCTGACCCCACACCCAGGGCCACTGTCTGGCTCTAACTACAGCTATTAAGTGCTACCTGCCTCTCAGGCACTCCCCTCACCCAGTTTCTGAGGTCATATGAGTGTCTGTGATGTCTTCCTGTGTCTTCCCCAACTTGATTCCCTCAGCCTCCTCCTGCTTTCATGCTCAGCCTACTGCTTTCATGCTCAGAACATCATTGTCCTAGGCCACCTCTTCCCCCAATCCTCACCTTTTCTTCCAGTAGAAAATTTTGCTTGATCTTTGGTGCATTGCCCACTTCCAAGCTCCACTGGGCCCAGGCCTGAGCCTGAGGCCCTTGTTTTGGGGGGTGGGGAGATGGCTATGATTGCTCTTGAAGAGCACGGCTGAATGGAGAGGAACAGTGACTCCTGGGTGTCAGAAGCCTAAGGTAGCCCAGTGTTTGACCAGGGCAGGCCTGGCATGGCCACCAGTGGGGATTGGGACAGCCAGTGTCACTTCCTCCTCTTGCAGCCCTCTCAGAGTCCATCTCCCCAAGATAAGAAGGGAAAGGCAAATTTCTAACACACCAGCAATAAAAATCGGAGGAGGCTTGGCCTTCAGCCCTTGTATTTCTGTCTTTTGACTCTCTCCCTCCCACCCCTATTCTGGGTTTGTGGGGCAGGGTGGAGGGAGCTGGCAACTACTGTGAGCAATCCCCCGACCACTGACCAGCCTCCTCACATGACTGGTGACTGTTTCACGAGCTGTGCATCCCCCACAAAAACAGGAGTGCCCCTCTGTGTGGCCTCTGTCCTTCTGCACAGCCCCTTCTGGTGGCCCTCACCAGATCTCTGAACTGGGTTGGGGGCTGACCTGGCAATCACTGCCCATTCCACTCACCCTTCACAGCACCTGCCCCAGAACCTGGGCCTGGGCCAGAGGGGCAGGGGGAAGAGAAGGCATTAGTAGGAAAAAAAATAGAAAAAAATATGAAAAGACTCAGCTTTGGGACTTCCAACGACAAAAGAAATTATATATAAATATATATAAATATATATCTCTACCATATGTGATGGAAAGACTTCGTTTTCTTTTCCCAAAGAAATAAAATGGAGAAAGCCTCTTGAGTGGCATCCTTTTGGTCTGCTTGTGTCTTTGCACGTGTGGGAGGTGAGGCCTGGGTAAGGGGGGTGTGGAGGGCAAAGCTGGAGTAAACATTTCCCAGAGGAGGCATGAAACGGGAGGTGCTCACTGGGCCGTGCCAGGAGGTTGGCCCAAAGCCCAGGCTCCTCCACGTTGCCCAGGAGGAGTAGTGGTTCCACTTTTCTGCCCAATAGGACTTTCTCTTCAGCTCAGACAGTCACCAAAAGGATTTCAACTTAGTTCCAGCTTAGAATCTGGACACCAGACTTACCCAGAAGGCAAGTGATACGGACAACTAGAAACAGCCTGCAGTGTCCTGAGCCACTGTACAGCGATTAGCTGATGTCTGAGGGCAGAACACGTAGACGTGAAGGCTGAGAACCAACTTGTAATTAGTGGTGCGCCCCCAAAGGCAGAAGGGACGCAGGTGTGCTTCATGCAGTTAGCTGTCCTTTATGATAATTCCATTGGCCATCCTAACAGCCCCCCAATGAAGAAAACCTGATTTACAGGAACTCAAGAGAGTAGTTTATTTTTCCTAACCTGACAAAAAGTCTGGACATAGGCATCATAAGTGTAATAGAGGTTGGATCATCAAGGACCTAGACTTTTCATCCTTCTGCTCTCCCATCCTTAGCATCTTGTCTTCGCCATGCCACAAGGTGGCTGCCACAGCTCCCTGAAGTGATTGAGGCAGCAGCACCATGAAGGTAAAAGCTTTCCCAGAAACTTCATGGTTCCCTTTAAATTTTATTGGCCAGAATTGAGTCACATGTTCTTCCCACTTCAAGGAAGGCTGGGAAATGGAGTATTTGGCAAAGAGGAATGGGATTGTTATGGCTGCCTAGAAGCAATTCTAGTTCATTTCCTGGACTCTCTCTGGCTTCTGCTGGAAAGGGCAGAGTCATAATTAGGCACTAACAGTACTTGCCCTGGAATGGCCTGAGTGAGAGAATTCTGAGAAGCGGTGTCAGTGGTCTAGGGCCTCGAATGCTCACCCCCAGGCAAACAGTGCCCTCCACAGAGAGCAGGAGATGGGATGCCAGGCTTGCCCCTCCTTGCAGTGAAGTGTCCTCCCTACATTGGTTTTGTCTCACCGACAAGATGATGCCCTGGAGGGAGCACCATTTCTCAGGTCCCCCTCAAAGCCCTTAGGATGGGTGGAACAGCAGCCGAGGCACGGACAAAGAATGACGACCCTGATCAGCAGCCTACAATGCCCCCAGGAACAGTCTGGAGCCAAGTCCTCCTGGAAAGTCTCAAGAGCCTCCTCCTTGCCTAGTTGCCCATACCTACTCAGTGGGATCCCCTCTACTTGAGAAGGTGCAGGATCACCCTGGCTCACCTGCCGTAGCTCTGGCCTCCTCACCAGCTCCTCGGATCCATTCCTCCTAACAGCCTCGTCTTTCCATCACTAATTCTCCTCCTGAGAGCACTTTGTAGACACATCTCTATTGTAAATGCATGATTACTTCATTGAACAAATGAGGAATTAGGCTTAGAGAATTTCTTCCGCAAGACCATAAAACCCTGAGTGGCAGTCTAAGGTTCGAACCTGTGTCTAGGCAATTCAGTGATTTCCAGAGCGGTCCATCCACGGCGGTGTTTCCCCTCTGCAGGTCCTAGACTCCTCCCAACTCCTCAGCAACGTCCTCTTGTGGAAAACGTCCTTGGAAAACGCTGATAGCGGTTTTTGAACCTCGGCCGCACCCGTCACTCGCGCAGCAGCCGGAAGTAGCGAGCAGTTGGCCGGAAGTGAGGCTGTGAGGCCGGGGGTGTAGCCGGAGAAGTCCCGGTAGCTCTCGGGAGTGGGGTCTGGTGTTGCGGCGCCCGCGCTCGCCAGGCTCAGGTGAGTGGCGGCGGCCGGGGAGGGGGTTGCGGCAGCCGCTCCCTGCGATCCTGGGCCTTGGCCCGCGCCTCCCGCCCTCTTGGCCTGCCCCGGGCCGGCGCGAGCCGAGGCCGGGCTCCGCGCTTCCGGGCCTGGGCTGCCTGCCCCGGGCCGGCGCGAGCCGAGGCCGGCTCCGCGCTTCCGGGCCTGGGCTGTGGGCGGCTTTCTCGGTTACCCGGCCCTAGGAAGAACCTCGGCGACCCGGAGTTTGTGACCTTGGGCAAGCGGCTTACCTGAACATTGATTTTTCGTCTGTGAGATGAAGATAATAACTATTTGCCTCACAGTGCTGTGGGTGAGAAGGTAGTGAGATATTATGCCGCTCCTCTGATCACACTTCAGTATGCATGCGAATCACTTAGGGGTCTGGAGATTCTGTACGTCTGGCTTGGGGCCTGAGATTCTGCGTTCACACTAGCTTCCAGTGAGGCTGATGCCGCTGCTCCGCAGGCTACACTGTGAGCAGCAGGGTCCTGCGGTGTTTTGCTTAGTACCTGGGACAGGTTGAGTCTTCAGTAAACATCAGTACAATATGTATGTACCCTTTCCCAATTTTTTTTTTTACAGTGTCTGGTTGCACAAGCCTAAATGTCCTATTGATGTCCCTCCCCCTTTTTTCTCTCCAGGGATAAGAAAGATAATTGCTCTTTCTTTTTCCGTGCAAATCATGACACAGCTCTTCTGTCTCAGGGAGCTTTGGGCCCTCTTCATACCAGTTAACGTTCATTGGCCTCCTCAGGTGATGCTTCATTGCCCACTCACTGTAGACCCTTGGACAGTGCTCTGTCCTGTGGAGCTGAAGCCAAGGGCTAATGTTTTGTGCTGTAGTCATTTATTGTTGCTGGAATCTGAATTTATGTTTTCTGCACTGTGCTCACACTTTGTGAGTAGTAAAAACAGTCGCCTTTCCAGAACTAGATTGTAGGGCTCTCTGCTCTAAGTGGTCTTGGGCAAGCTCTGGCATGAATTTGCTGCTGCCTGGTAGACCAGGATAAAATCTAAAGACTCTGTGCTGCATGATACAGCTGAGAAAGTGAGGCCTTTGGTAGTGACATAGGTCTAATTTATCAGTGTGGTTTTCTTCCCCATTCATTGGTTTAGTTTTTTTCTGGTTTCCAACAAGGCCGTGTCATTCATCATGCAAATAAGTCAAATTTGATATCAAAGAATTTTGAGATTCCCCCTTCACTTGTCTGAAATACTATACTGTGTGGCCTTGTGAATCTAGGAAAGCAAATAAAACCAAATGTTTGGTTGTGCTAACAGTGATATATACATGGACTGTTTATTTGGAAATTTTTTCACATGACTGTGGGTGCAGATACTTCTCTTTACCTGTCTGGATTTTGTCAGCCCTCCAGTAGTCCCATTTAGGTGGGCTGAGAGGACATGAGTGTCTATTCTCTTATACCCAGAGGAAACCCTCTAAGAGGAGTGGCTCTAACAGAATCATCTGTGGGGCCTTCTCAGACTGTATCTACCCAGGCCCTTCTTGCTGTTCTGATAGAGGAATAGCAGAGTTAGAAGAAGAAGAGAGAGCTATATAAGCTAAAAAAAAGCAAACAAACAAACTTTTACAGATGATTGTGATGTGCTCTTTTCTCTCCCTAAGTGTGGAAAGTAAAAGGAAGTGGATGAGATAGGCTGTTAGACTTGATTTTGGTTTGACTTAGCTCTGTGTGTGATACTTATCTTGACCTAAACACCTTTGCACTAGTGCTTTACCTTCAAGTACCTCTCTTGCAGGTTGTGCTTCTTTGTGGAAACAGAAGCACAGAAGAGGAGAGTCTAGCCCAGTTAGCATCCACGTTAATGGCTAAAGGTTCTTACTGTCAGTCTCTAAGCCTTCACCAGGGGCTTTAAAGCTTTGTAGACTCTAAGCAGGAGACTCCATCCAGGGCCTGGAGAAAGTTAGTTTTTTGCTTTCTTAACTCTCAGGGCTGTTCAACACATTATTTGCTAAGCAAAAATTGGGTTTGAAGAATCCATTTGTGGCAATTTTATCAGGACATAAGCGAGTTAAATTTTTCCAGCAAAAGAATCAAATCAGAATTAAGGGATGAGATCTGTTAACTGTAAATTAAATATGCTGAGAGTGTCATATACTTGGTCTACAGTTAGCATGGCTGCCTCCTCCGCCTGGCTCCCCTCTTCTAACTTCTGGACTGTAGTTTAAAACAAAGCTGTTCTGCCTTGTTCAGACCTGTACCTGGAAGGTGGAAAGGTAAGATTCCTCGCTTTTGCTAAGCCACATCATTCAAGGGTTGTTTGGCCAATGCCTTTCAGAATAGCCATGGTCTAGTGGTCTTTGAGGCTCCACTTTGGTTCTTGAGGACCCCTAAAGAGGAAATGGGAAGGAGGGTGTACTTGGAGCCTTAAACTAGGAAAGGAGCTTTATGAAATGATGTTCACATGTCTTTGAACCTTTAGAGAGGGCATCAGGAGTTGTCAACTGGGCATCTCATAGTGTTCTTTCCATCTTTCTCATGGATTCTATGGGAGTCATTAAGTAAGGAAGAACTAACTCTCAGCTGTGTTTCTCTCCATCTGGGCAAAACACCCCGATCCCCTCGTTTGTAGTGCCTTTTTCCCCAATCTTCTGCTTTATTGGTTCTGTATTTACCTTGTGTTTCTTCCCTTTCCTCTGCACAGTACTCAAGACCCAGCTTCTGAAGTGGTTATATTTCAGACCTATATATGTAAGATCTGGTGCCTATACAGTTATTCTAAAAGTTGCATGGTGAAAAAGTGAGTAGCTACTGTTTGCCATTTGCAGTTTGGCTCTGCATGGCTCTAAGATTCTTTGTTTTGTCATCATTTCTGTTACTGGGCATCCATGAAGTAGTTCTACAGACAGTAGGAAGTACTTGCACTAGGAATAACTTTTCAACATTTTCCTTGAGTATTTATTAATTTTTAATATTTTATTTATTTTTCTTTGCCAGGAAAGATAATTAAATTTAGTTAGTTAGTTTTTCGATGGAGGTACTGGGGATTGAACCCAGGACCTCATGCATGCTAAGCTCCTGCTCTGCCACTGAACTCTTCCCCACCCTTCTATCCTTGACTATTTAGGTTGCTTTCTCTGTTCACTTATTGTCTTCTTGAAGAATATCTTAATTTCCTGTTAGAATATGCATTTTGTAAATTTTTTTTAAGTTACACAAGTACATGGTTTACATAGTTAAATAGTTTGACAGATCTTATAACACTGAATTTAATTCCCTTTCTTTTCTCCCTCCATTTTTGTTACACAGAGGCACTTTTCAGCTATTTGTCTGTTCCTTTTGGCAGTCATTGGTGTATTTGTAAATAGCATGTTTGTGTTGCTGTTTCTTGATTTCTAGAGTATATCTATGTCTGTGAAATCTTTTGGTTTCTTTGTTATGAGCTTTGATGCTCTAGGTCTCTTGTATCATTACTGTGTCTCCCCCTACCCCACTGCCCCTCCCTTCATCCTCCCAATATAGTTTGCTTATAGTTTTTGGATAGGCTGATATTCAAAGTTTATATTGATAAGATTATGTAAGTATTATTTATAGCTGAACAGAAAGTGTAAAATGATGACATTTTCTCTCTTGTACAACTTTTTTGTTTTCTCTGGAGTTAATAATTTTTGTTACTGTTGTTATTGGCTTGGTTTTCTGTCTCTATTACTTGTTCGTCCTCAGATTAAGCATCAGAAATGTAAATCTTCTCTGCTAGGTAATATCCATCCCTTCCAACATGAGCTAGTTGCTCTTTACATCTGCTCACAGCTGTAGTCCTGGCATCTTCCTTCATCATTATCGTGGGATTTCCTTTTACTTCTCTTCTATGTTGAACTAAATTTCAGATCACGTATCTCTTCTGCTAACCTTCAATTATGATAGTTCTCTTTACCTAAATACGATGGCATCTTGTAACCTCATTCCTTCATGTAGGTAAACGTTGGTCTTTGAGGTCTTCCTTTGATTCTTCTCGTAAGTAGTATGTACTAACCATAGTGATAGCTAGGATTCTACACTGTCAGAGGTATGAGGGGCTTTTGAGCTCACCTGTTTTAACCCTCCAGCCTTCCTGGCACCTAGAAACCCTATAGATTGTTCAGGGTCCTCCCCATCCCCCTGTCTGGAATCTGACTCTTTTTTGTCTCTCCAGTACACTAGCAATGTGGGTTTTGGAATCAGATAATCTTTGATGTCAAACACCATTCTGTCCCTTGGCTGTGTAATCTTCAGCGGGTTTCTTAATCTTGTAAAGTCTCTTTTTCCTTGTTAACAATTTGGAGATAATAAAGCCTACCTTACAAAAAGGTTGTAAGGATTGGAACTGATGCAGATAAAACAGCTCATTCAAGGCTTGGCACAGAGGAGGCCCTAAGACAGTTGTAGCTCCTGTTATTTCCATCTTGAGACTTAGTGTGTATTTTTTGTTTGTTTGTTTGTTTTTCTTTGTGAGGGGGAGGTAATTAGGTTTATTCATTTATTTACTTATTTTAAGGGAAGTACTGAGAATTGAACCCAGGACTTTGTGTGTGCTAAGCACACACTCTACCACTGAGCTATCCCCTCCCCCTGGGACTTAGACTGTATTTTTGCAAATCAAAAAGAGCCACATCAATTCAAAACACTGGATATACGCCAGTCAAACTTTGATGTTCCAGGAAATGGTTCTGTTTTTCATTTTTGGACCATTTACAGTAATCTCATTAAGTACTCTTAGGTAGTATTAATTGAAGTAATTTAAATTATTTAGTATGCTTTTAAAATTATTTATAAAAGTTTTTGTTAAATTAATCCATACACTCTTCTGTTTAACAGTTTTAACCCCAATAAAAAGGAGAAAAAAGTTAATTTATCAGAGGTTTAGCAGGAAGTCTCCCAACAAGGAAGCTGTATAGTTATTTTCTTTTTATGTAAGTGTATTTTAAGTGATGGCACTTGTGCTCTGTTTGTTCCACTGAGTATTTGTATGTGCTTTCCATGTGTTGATGCCTGACACACACTTATTCTGTAAACCAGCCTCCTCCCTCTAGATGGACATTTGGTTATTTTCAATTTTTTGCTATTGTAAAAAAGTATTTTGTCTTTTTTTTTTAAGTTATTTTTTCCGATCTAGTTCCCAAGATGAGATGAAGGACTTTAAACAATTGCTTTAGTTGTATATTGTGGGGGACTAAATTTAGATTCCAGGTTCCAATTCCGGGTTCCAGCTTGGTACCCTTAAAAGCCCTGTTCTGTCAGCTGAAGAGTTCCATTACTTGCTCTCTCCTTGGTTCCCACCATGCCTGTGCTGCAATATTAATTGAGATCCCTCATGACTGTTTTCAGGCATAAATCTTTGATTATCATCTAAATATTAAAGAAAAAATAATTACAGTATTGTTTTCCTGATGTTTTCTAATTTTTAAAAAGCTGACCATCTGCATTCATAGAAGTAAGCTAATAGTCTATAGCAGACTTACTCTTTAAAGGGCCAGATAGTAAATATTTTATGCTTTGAAGGCCATATATTCTCAGCCAATTACTCAGTTCTGCTCTAGTAACAAGAAAGTAGCCATAGACAGTATTTAACTAATGGCCTGGCTATGTTCCGATAAAACTTAGGTTTAGGCTCTGGGCCATAGTTTGCAGACACCTAATCTATAGCATCTGGACCCACAGGTTGAAACTTGGTAGGCAGAATGGTCCACAGGCCACAGTAAAGAATCAAATGTATAAAGATTTGGTATGAAAGAATTCTACTCTGGTTCACAGAGAAATTAGAACATATATTCCTGCCATCCACAGAAACCTGTGTAGCTGGGCTGCCCGAAAAATGCCACTGGCCTGCCCTATAGTCCCCTACTTCTTATGCTGTGGGCTTGGAAGGAAGAGATTGATAGGGGAGTTGGTTAGGCATTTCACAAAGTCATCCTGGTACCCTCAGAGTCCTCATGGGCTTTTCTCCAGCAGGAGCCCTGTCTAGTCCATGTCTTGGAAGCTTAGGGCTCCCTGGGTTTTGCTTGTCAGGCTTTGCCATTTCTTTGTTTGGACAGTTTTTATTAAAAAAACATGCAACATTTCGCACATTTGCATGTCATCCTTGCACAGAGGCCATGCTAATCTTCTCTGTGTTGTTCCAATTTTAGTATATGTGCTGCCAAAGCGAGCACAGTCTTTGGCATTTCTCAAGGAGAAGGAAAGACAGTAAACATTTGGAGAAAGCAGGAGTACAGCAGAGTCATTTCCATAGCCTCTCATGGTTTCTACCGTGGGACAAAAATGGGACTTGTGCTGCTCACAGGCAGGATAGTCAACACCTGATTGATTGACTGGACGCATTGCTAATCCGCCTCCTCCAGAGGAAAGCTATGCTGCTGTACCCTTGTTTGCCAGCAGGGCAGTCGCATGAATTGGTACTCCCTGAGCTTAGTTTTTGAGGTGCTCTTTGATTCCCACCAGTGAATTGACAGTGAACAGGTCCTATGCCTTCTGCCCTCCGCTACCAAAATGAGTGAGTTTTTGAGTTAACTTCCGAAGTGCATGACTACTCTGCAGTAGTGATTCGGACTCTTAGAGGCCTGGAGAGGAGAAAAGGCATCTTCTGAAAGGTACAGGAGCAGCATTAGAACAACAAAACTCTGTAATCACAAGTTTTGTATTTTAGGAATAGGGAGGGCTATTGTGGGTATAATTAGTTAAACTTTACACCAAATCCCACTTTTTACTTTGGCTGTTAGCACGGAGCTTTTACCAACTTTCTTATTCTCCAAGTGTGTTCTTTATGTGTTGATTTCAAAGAGATGGAATAGGTTGCTCACTTTTGTTTGCAGCTTTCTTTTTGGAAACCTGCTTTCCTCCTTCTTGTTAGATGTTAGTGGAGCAACTGTCTCTTTTCTAACCATAAAGGAAGTCTCCAGAGGACAGAGGAAATTCAGACTGAGGACCAGTCCAAAGAACTGCCCGGTAGTACCCCAGGTTTGAGGTTTTCTGTGCCTTTATGCAAGGCAGATGGGGTTTATCCTTGATGTATGCTATCTTGTGGTTTGCACATTCACTGGCATTGAACTTACTTAAGTGGACAGCAGTGTAGTTTTAATCCATTCTTAATGTGTAAATTTTGGTATTGTAATAGGTGGAAGCCACTTATTCTTCGTCTACCCTTTTTTCAGTATCTGGCACCAATTCTGGCCCAGTCATTTGTGATCCATGGCTCTTGTGATATGCCGAAGATTTCCAGGGAGTTTCTGTGGAATGCCTTCCTGTCCAGCTCTAATCAAGCACCATATAAACAAGAAATTGCTTGATCAAACCTGTGAGGACTGTGTTCTAACTGCTAAAATGATCAATACTGACACCAGAATGGCAGCCAATCTCAAGCTATTAAAACCTTTAGGATATCAAGCATTTTGCAGACCTTTTGCCTGCAGTGCGACCCGAAGTGTGGCATGTTGGAGTATGGGAAGCTGCACATGGCACAAGAGACAGGACCTTCCAGAAAAGAGCCTCTGCCATCCTGCCAAAAAAGTTAATATTTATAACACCTCCACTTCTTGGAGGATCCTGGCGACTAGGAGTACCTTCCTGGGTTTGGAATTCAGCAGGGCTTCTGCCTCTAAGGTCAGCACATTGAAGCCAGGATTACCCAGGGCCATGAGAGTTAATGAAGAGGATGTGGAAGCTTTTGATTCCTTTGAAGATCCCCGAGTTTTTCTACAGCTAAGACCAGAATACCAGCTTCACAGCTATAATAGATCTGAGACTTGCCAGCCCCTGTCTGTTTCAGAAGGTGAATTAATTTTGCACAAAGTTACAGTTTATCAAGATAATCTTCAGCCTCAAACTATTGTTGATTATTTCTGTAAGCTGAGTTCTTTGCCTGCAGAGCAGCATCCTGTTTTGCTGTCCAGTGTCAGCTTTGCTCTGCTCTGCCAGCTGAGTGTGAAAAACATACAGCTCTTTGATGCCCCAGATCTGATCAGTATTTTGAAAGCCTTTGTCAGTTTACGAATCCCTCATTCCCATTCAATGCTAGATGTGTTTGAAACCAAATTTTGCCATAAGGTGTGGGAGATGAGTCTGGATCAACTTCTCTTGGTGGCTGACCTCTGGCGGTGCTTGGGCCGCAGAGTACCTCGTTTTTTAAAAATCTTTTTCAGTTATCTGAACTTGCACTGGAAAGATCTATCCTTGTCCCAGCTGATTCACTTAATTTACATTATAGGTGAAAGTCGTCAGGTACCCCAGGACCTAATGCAAAAACTAGAATCATTGATCCTCAAGTATATAGATTTGATCAATATAGAGGAGTTTGGTACAATTTGTTTGGGATTTTTTAAATCAAGTAGTGGTCTTTCTGAATTTGTCATGCGGAAAATTGGAGACTTGGCTTGTGCTGACATGCATGATCTGAGTAGTTATGCCTTAGTGAATATTCTTAAAATGTTCCGTTTCACTCATGTGGATCACGTAAATTTCATGAAGCAATTTGGACAGATTGCTCCTCAGCGAATTCCTTCCCTGGGAGTTCAGGGTGTCATGCACCTGACTCTTGCCTGCTCGGCCTTACACATCCTGGATGAAGGCATAATGAATGCTGTGGCTGCGTCTTTGCCTCCTAGGGTAGCATACTGTCGAAGTAAAGATGTTGCCAAGATTCTGTGGTCATTTGGAACTCTGAATTACAAGCCACCCAATACAGAAGAGTTTTATTCTAGCCTGATAAATGAGATTCACAGAAAGATGCCTGAGTTCAATCGATACCCAGAACACCTGCTCACATGCCTGCTGGGCCTGGCATTTTCTGAGTACTTTCCAGCAGACCTCATAGATTTTGCTTTGAGTCCAGAGTTTGTCAAGTTGGCTCAGGAGAAAAGTAAGTTTGAAGTCACTAAGGAGCTATATACTCTTGATGGTACAGTTGGCATTGAATGTCCAGATTACAGAGGCAATCGTCTTAGCTCTCATCTTCAGCAAGAGGGGTTGGAAATGGTGTGGAATTTAGCAAGGAAGGATATGGACTCAAAGCCTGAATTCCTAGAGGCTCTCTTTTTACTTGAGACCATGTTGGGTGGGCCCCAGTACGTCAAACACCATATGATTTTGCCTCATACTCGATCTTCTGATTTAGAGGTTCAGCTTGATGTTAATATGAAGCCATTACCATTTAACAGAGAAGCTACATCTGTTGAAGATGAGACCAAATTAAGGCTTAAGCATGTGGGAGTCAGCCTTACAGATGATTTGATGAATCAGCTACTAAAAGGGAAATCAAGAGGACATTTCCAGGGGGAAACTGTGTCAGACACTGGGCGGCAGCCCATGAAATCAGAGGAGAAGATGGCCATACCTGTGGCGGACCCCCTTTGCAATGTGGCACACAGATTGGGGGCCATGGAGATGGCTGATCTGTGCCCCCCAGCTTGCATGCAGGCCCCACAAGTGAAGCTGGCTATTCAGTTGACAAACAAGAACCAGTATTGCTATGGTTCCAGGAATCTGCTTGGGCTGCACAATATGAAGAGGCGACAGCTGAATCAGCTTGGGTACCGTGTGGTGGAGTTATCCCACTGGGAATGGCTACCACTACTGAAACGGACTCGCTTTGAAAAGCTGGCGTTCCTTCATGAGAAAGTGTTCACCTCTGCTCTCTGAAGAGCCTTCAGGTCCAGTTCTACTCATAAGTGCTGTGGATGTGCACTGTGCCAGGTGCTGCGAAACAGTTATAAAAGCCAGAATGTAGGTTTGCTAATAAAATCATCTGTTGAGGAGACTTAGTTGTGTTCTTGTCTGTGGCAGATGGAAGCTAGTGTATGTTACTGTGAATTAATTATAACCTAGTCCAGTTGTATAAGGTGCTGCTAATTTGTGCAGATAAATAATAAACATCTTAAAATGTCTTATGATCAAGTAATTCCAGTCTCATTTTTCTCTCTCTTTACTGGCCTTGCCTCATAGTTATTTTGAATTTTTAGGATAAAAGTGTAGTCAGGAATTGTCTAAAGTCCATTTTTAAAAAATGGTTTTCATATACTTTGTTTTAAGATAAGAATCTTTACAACTTCACTTATATTTCAGTTTTTCCCCCCTGCATGTTTTTTTCATACTCTTTGAAATTAAGTCCTTCTCATTGTCTCTTAGATTTGATTGGTTATCCTTAGTTGCTGGTTCTTCCTTTTTTAAAGAGCCATTTGAGAATTAGCGTAATATATTCCTCTTAGCCCCCTCTTCTGCATTTCTACTTCTCTTTCATAACTTACCCTCGCCCCTCCCCCTGACCAAAGCCCCAAGAATATTTTCTTCCTAAAGTGGACCTAGAAGAGTAGAATTATATGAGTACCTTTTGGGCCAGTGGTTCCCAAATTTGATGATCAGGCAGAATGGTTTTCATGGCTAGTAGCTCAGATGAGAAGGAGGTGTATTACTTCCCATAATAGGAAGTCTAGTGGGCTTCAGCTTTGGTTGTATTAGAGCCACAAGCATAAGAAGACTGAATATATGTAAGTAAGTTAATACAGGTAACTTTTTCAAACACTTGGGGTCTATGAGGTCTTGGGGTCGTGGGGTCAAATGAGAATTTGTTTTAAAACCAGTCCCTTCCATCATTAAACTCACTTCCCCATCTATGCTAAGTAAAACAGTATCCAATTGGCCTTTGATCGTGCTCTGTCAGCTTTAGCTTCATTTTCCTCACTTTCCTCAGCAGTATCAGAAATTATTCTTTACTTACTGGTTTCCCTGTTGGAAGATAGCCCTTTGAAATAACTTTGTCTAGAATTTATCTCCAGTGTCCAGAATGGGTCCTGGGACATAGATAATGTTTAGTGAGTGTGGTCTGGAAATTTAGAATGGTTAGGCATTGCTAGAGAGAGTTAAGAGTGGAAGGAAGGCAGAGGGTGTGGGGCCAGAGACAGAGAGAGTATCTGGGTCACGGAAGCCTTACGGCCTTGCCAAAGAGCCCCAGTTTACAGAAGCTAGAGTGCTTCTAAAGTGTTCTAAGTCAGGGAGTAATTGGACAGATTTATGTTTTAGAAATTTTAAATAAAAAGGATAGAACTAGGTTGAGGTATAGGCTTGTATGAGATAATTCAGAGAGAATATTTCACAGATGTGTGCAAGAGCTTATGTGAGAGACAGTGAGGGCCAAAACTAGGGGAATGGAAAGTTTAAATTC